GTAGGCAGGTGGCTTGAGCCCAGGAATTTGAGACCAGCCTGGACAACATAGTGAGACATCGTCTTTACAAAAAATTAAAAAATTAGCTGGGCATGGTGGTACATAGCTGAGGTCCCAGCTATTCGGGAGGCTGAGGTGGGTGGATGGCTTGAGCCCAGGAGGTCAAGGGTACAGTGCGCTATGATTGCACCACTGCACTTCAGCCTGGGTGACAGAGTGAGACCCTGGATTTAAAAAAAAAAAAAAAAAGATACATGCTCTTCAGAGCCATTTAGAAGATGGAAGGAAGACTATGGCTGATGCTTGCATCAATGTATGTGCTAGCCTATATGACACCTCTGTGAGAATCTGAAAAAGATGCCTCTTCTTCCTGGCTGACATAGCCCCACACAAGGACTTAGCGCTTGACAAGGAGAGCACAGGTTGAACAGCAGCCCTCACCCATGCCTTAGCTAGGTGCCCCCATGCACTAATCAATGAGATTTGCTAGGACTCTCCACACCCCATTTCAGCTTTGCTAGCTGGTTCTTTGTTAAGCTCTGATGATAGAGGGAGACTGAATGGTGGGAGGGGGAAGAATGGACAAACTTCATCTCCTGAGCCTCCTGTTTGCTTGTGGTCCTTGCCATTGGCACCCTATTAACTCTGCTTCACCATAGCAGCAGTTAGATCCAGTTTTCAGTTTCCCTGCCACCTGCAGAACTAGCTGCAATGCACCCTGCCTCCCCACCAAGAGACACCAGCTCAAACCCCTCCTCAGAGACGAATCCCAGCTGCAAGAGACACTGCCTCTACACTCAGAGACAACAGCACCAACTGAGTAGCACCTTTCTCCTCAGATGTCTGAGTTTCAGCTCCACACCACTGCCCCTCTAAGTTTCTACATTTTCAGAATTCCAGCCTCTTTCTTTTGTTCCCTCAGATCTAGAGGGATTAAGAGTTCCCTGCAGTTGCTACCTCTGTAGTATCCTAGATTTCTCTTTTTACCTTTTTAGTTACCAGGTTGACAATTTTATAATTGGTTAACAATTTTTTTTTTTTCTTTAGACAGAGTCCCACTCTGTCACCCAGACTGGAGTGCATGGAATGCAGTGGCTCGATCTCAACTCATTGCAACCTCCACCCACCCCATCCTGGATTCAAGTACCTGGCCCATTGACAATTCTTTATATTAAATTATATTTGTTGGTCGGGTGCAGTGGCTCATGTTTGTAATCCCAGCACTTTGGGAGGTTGAGGTGGGTGGATCACTTGGGGTCAGGAGTTCCAGAGCAGCCTGGCCAACATGGTGAAACCCCATCTCTACTAAAAATACAAAAATTAGCGGGCACAGTGGTGGGCACCTGTAGTCCCAACTACTCAGGAGGCTGAGGCAGGAGAATTGCTTGAACCCAAGAGGCAGAGGTTGTAGTGAGCCGAGATCATGCCATTGCACTCCAGCCTGGGCTATGAAGCAAGTGAGACTCCAACTTAAAAAATAAATAAATAAAAGTAAAAAATATATTTATTCACGTAACTCTACATAGTTCCTATCTCTTGACTGAACCCTGAGTAGTACAAAGGAGAAGATATATTTGAGCAATAAACCATCATAATCTACATACTTTTTTTTCAGGCATTGCTTGAACTGTTCTAACAAATGCTCTACAAGAGGAAACAACTTTCCATCAGACTCAAGTTGGGGATTCTTGCCAGAATTAAGGCTGTCACATACTGAAGGACTAGCTGGCTTAGTTGGCAGTCCCTACTTATGGACTTCTGATAGGAGAATGATAAACCCAGCCTACCTCTTTCCAAAGGGAATGTATTAATCAGAAATAGTTTATTCTGCAGTAACCACCAGTCCTCTGACTGGTCATTACTTATTTATTGCTGATGGCTTACAGCAATAAATGTTTCTCTCTCCGAGGTTTTATAGCAACTGAGGATCCACTGAAGCTTTGTTCCATGGCTCTTCTCCAAATAGCTTTTTCATTTCATTGGGGACCTAAGCTGAAGGTATTGCCCCTACCCTTGTCTCACGACAGAGGGAAAGGAAGGGAGAGTGGAATTGCGCAATGGCTCACAACGCTTCTGCTTGGAGATGGTGTAAGTCACCTTCTCTTGCCTTCCATTGGTTAAAGCAAACCATATAGCCAAACCTGCTATCAGTGGGGCATTTTGGGTTAAGAGTTAACAAAACCTTTTCTCTGCTGCATATGAATTTGACCTTTTGTTAACATTCTAGCTCTGTTCCCCTGGAACCAGATTACAGTGCTATGTTAACGGTGTTACTCAGCAACATTGCTTATAAATGATCTCTGATTGGAAATTGCATCTGGACTGGAAGGAGCTATAAATGTACTACAAATACCTGATGGAAGCTATAGCTTCTAGCATCCTGGAATGTGCTGACTGTTTTAGGTGGGCATGTGTGGTGATGCCAGAAATGACACCTCTGAAGTTTGTTACAGGCGATATTGGCTCCTGTAGGGAATGAGATGCTAAGTTGGGGTGGTTCCTGCACTTGCCTCATATGGATTGCACCTTCTTGCATTTGAGCTGTCTCTGGGCAGCTGCATAATTTGGAGGAATACCTGACACCACCTATAGTTAACTGTCCTGTCTCATGTTTTGTTTTGTCTTTTCTTTTCTTTCTTTCCTTTTTTTTTTTTTTTTTTCTTGAGACAGAGTCTTGCTCTGTCACCAAGGTTGGAGTGCAGTGGTGAGATCTCAGCTCACTGCAACCTCCACCTCCCAGGTTCAAACAATCCTCCCACCTCAGCTTCCTGAAAGCTGGGATTACAGGCACCTGACACCATGTGCAGCTCATTTTTGTATTTTTAGTAGAGACAGGGTTTCATAACATTGGCGAAGCTGGTCTCGAACTCCTGACCTCAAGTGATCTGCCCTCCTCGACCTCTCAAAGTACCGGGATTACAAGCGTGAGCCACCATGCCTAGCCCTGTCCCATGCTTTTCTGAGTGAATCTCATGCAAAAGTGGTCTATGGTAGTTTTGTGAGTTTGAATGTTGACTTGAACCTAATAATAGATTTGATGCCATTGTGAGCACCATAGGCAGAAATTCACATTCTCCCACAAGACAGCAATATACTGCATGCTCTTCTAACTAAAAGATGAACAGATAATTAGAAACAATAATAACATCTACAAAGGGGGATTCTTCTAGGGGACCTTGGTACTTTTCAGTGGACAACAGATTCATAGAAAATTACTGATCAATAGAGGAAAAATGCAAAGAGAAACAGGTTTGTGGCTCAGAGAAACCTCAGTTAGAAACCTGGCTCTGCAGCTTCCTGCCTGCAACATGGGTGAGTTGCTTTATCCCTCTGAGCATCAGAATTCTCATCTATAAACTTTCTATTTTTAAGGCCTTTTTACTAAAAGAAAAATCTCAACTGGAACTCAGTTGAACAAAAACAAAAAAAAAAAACAAAACAAAACAAAAACAAAAGAACAAACCAAACCAAAAAAAAAAAAAAAATCAAAAAGGGCAAGAAATGAGCTGCAATCTAATGAACTTGGGTCTCCAGGACTCTTTCTTTGCCCCATCTGCAATTTTTTCAGCTTCCTGGCTTCATTCAATCCTACTCCAGAGGCAGGATTTCTCTGTCGGACCGAGATGTTGCCAGCTCTGGCTCACATTCTTACTATGAGTATATATGACCCTTTCTTATTAATGATTTCATTTTAAAATGTAACCAAATGCTCTCTTATCATCTGTCTTCATTGAATTGCACTTCCTTATTATTATTTTTATTTTTTTGAAACAGAGTCTTGCTCTGTTGCCGGGCACCAGGCTGGAGTGCAGTGGCGCAATCTTGGCTCACTGCAACCTCCACCTCCCAGGTTCAAGCAATTCTCCTGCCTCAGCCTCCCGAGTAGCTGGGACTACAGGTGCGTGCCACCATGCCCAGCTAATTTTTGTATTTTTAGTAGAGACAGTGTTTCACCATGTTGGCCAGGATGGTCTCGATCTCTTGACCTCGTGATCCACCCGCCTTGGCCTCCCAAAGTGCTAGGATTACAGGCGTGAGCCACTGTGCCCAGCCTGCACATCCTTATTTTAAAGGCTCATTGTTCTGTCATTTTCAGATTGAAGACAATCCTTGCTAGAGAAGTTGGGAAGAAAGAGTAAACTGGTCACCGTAAAGTTCTGCTGCCAGTTAATCATCTAGTCCATCAGTTCTGCCTTCATCCAGCATTACAGCATCTATTCCCGGATATTAGCCTATCCTTCACATGTTCTTGCTCAGAATACAGCTAGTATCTCATAGTGCCACAGTCATCATTCATAATTACAAAGAAAGGTTAAATTTAACCGAGTTTTGTCAGATGTTATGCACATTATATTTCTGAATATAATTTTTAAAAGCATTTCATTTAGGCTATTTTCTATCATGTATCACTTACTTTATTAGAAATTATGGTCCATATAATACTCAGAACAAACCTTTTCAGTTATGAAAAAAAAATTTACACAAATTCATGCATTTTCCAAAAACAGAATTAGCAAATTTTTGCTTTCTAAAAGGTGGAGGACTCAATCCCTGGTATAAATTTTTTACCAATTTTCCAAAGATACAGAGCCATCTTTCCCCTCTCAAAAGGGCAGGAACAGTTTCTAAGTCCCTTACTTTATCTAATTTCAGTTTTGAGGGCAACAATCCTGGGACAGTGATGGTTCTTTTTAACTCTTTTAGCATTCCCTTGCATTGAAATTGAGACAAGTCCATTCTTGTGATGAGAATTTACAGTCTAGTAATCTTAAACACCGAATAAAGTACAGAATCCCCCTTTTCCAGCGCTGAAGAGGAAGTTAATGGATTCCCAGTCACAGTAAATAATCTTAGAGAATTCCCTGTGGTTCTGGGCCTGGCTGAATTCTGCTATTCTTTCTTTGAGGCTAAAACTACACATTAACTATCATCAGTTTCTTTTATAGATTTTGGAGGACTTTAGCAAAATAATATGACAAATATGAAATATATCTTCTTACCTCTATCAACAATTTCAATCCCTTCTCCTTTCATCTTGCAAACCAATTTTTCTTGTAGTCTTTTTACTTCAGATTCCTTTTCTTCTAGTTGTTCTTTTGAAGTTGCCAATTCATCCTACAAGTTACAAATTCATTTAAAATTAGTAGATCATGACTAAAAGAGAACATTAAAATAGCATATTAGCTCTTTAAATCAGTAATCAGATTTATGAATAAAACAAATCTACACGAATTGAGATGTGGCCAGGCGTGGTGGCTCACGCTTGTAATCCCAGCATTTTGGAGGCCAAGGCGGGTTGATCACTTGAGGTCAGGAGCTCGAGACCAGCCTGGCCAACATGATGAAATCCCATCTCTACCAAAAATGTCAACTGCTGTACCTTCAAGAAAGTCCCTAAAGAGGAAAGCGATCTCTACTGTGGATACGAAACAGAATTCTTTCATAGGCCAATGTTTACAATTATTTTACTAGGCTTGGGTCTCAGGTAGCCTAAGAGAGTTAAATTTAATTTATATATTTTTTTCATTTTACCCGTTAATTATTTTTCACTAATTGTTTCATGTGTTTCTGAAAACAACATTAGGGATCCCACTTTCCCTTCAAACAGCTTCAGGTGATTTTTAATCAACAGGCGATACACAGCTGCTTTTCATATTAATAATTGCTTTTCATACTGCATCAGACCCACCTTAATTTTCATGCTAGAAAGTTTGGCCATTAAAGACTGGTAGAGAGATGGAGGAGTGAAAGAAAACTACAGACAGAAAAAGACAAGCTAAATAATCAAGAAAATAGTGTCAGTTTATAAAGGCGGTTAGATACAACTCAGAGAAAGGACAGCCTATATTTTGTCAGATGAGTTAAGCCTTGTTTTTAAATTCACATCAGTAGTGTTTAAATTCAAGAAGGATTCTAGCTTGGGTGGAGTTTCATTTTATTATTATTATTATTATACTTTAAGTTCTGGGATACATATGCAGGACGTTCAGGTTTGTTACATAGGTATACATTTGCTATGATGGTTTGCTGTACCCATAAACCCATCATCTAAATTAGGTATTTCTCCTAATGCTATCTCTCTCCTACCGCACCACCCCCCCGGCAGACTCTGGTGTGTGATGTTCCCTTCCCTGTGTCCATATGTTCTCATCATTCAACTCCAACTTATGAGTGAGAATATGTGGTGTTTGGTTTTCTGTTCCTGTGTTAGTTTGCTGACAATGACAGCTTTCCAGCTTCATCCATGTCCTTGCAAAGGACATGGACTCATCCTTTTTTATGACTGCATAGTATTCCATGGTGTATATATGCTACATTTTCTTTATCCACTCTATAGTTGATGAGCATTTGGGTTGGTTCCAAGTCTTTGCTATTGTGAACAGTGCTGCAATAAACATACATGTGCATGAGTCTTTATAGTAGAATGATTTCTAATCCTTTGGGTATATACCCAGTAATGGGATTGCTGGGTTAAATGGTATTTCTGGTTCTACATTCTTGAGGAGCTGCCATACTGTCTTCCACAATGGTTGAACTAATTTACACTCCTGCCAACAGTGTAAAAGCTTTCCTATTTCTCCACATCCTCTCCAGCATCTTTTGTTTCCTGACTTTTTAATGATCGCCATTCTAACTGGTATGAAATGGTATCAAATTGTGGCTTTGGTTTGCATTTCTCTAACTACCAGTGATGATGAGCTTTTTTTCATATGTTTGTTGGCTGCATAAATGTCTTATTTTGAGAAGTGTCTGTTCATAATCTTCACCCAATTTTTGATGGGGTTGTTTTTTTCTTGTAACTCTGTTTACATTCTTTGTAGAGATATTAGCCCTCCGTCAGATGGATAGATTGCAAAAAGTTTCTCCCATTCTGTAGGTTGGCTGTTCGCTCTGATGATAGTTTCTTTTGCTGTGCAGAAGCTCTTTAGCTTAATTAGATCCCATTTGTCAATTTTGGCTTTTGTTGCCATTGCTTTTGGTGTTGTAGTCATGAAGTCTTTGCCCCTGCCTATGTCCTGAATGGTATTGACTAGGTTTCCTTCTACATTTTTATGGTTTTAGGTCTTATGTTTAAGTCTTTAACACATCTTGAGTTAATTTTTGTATAAGGTGTAAGGAAGGGGTCCAGTTTCAGTTTCCTGCATATGGCTAGCCAGTTTTCTCAACATCATTTATTAAATTGGAAACCCTTTCTCCATTGCTTGTTTTTGTCAGGTTTGTCAAAGATCAGATGGTTGTAGATGTGTGGTGTTATTTCTGAGGCCTCTGTTCTGTTCCACTGGTCTCTATATCTGTTTTGATACCAGTCCTATGCTGTTTCAGTTACTATAGACTTGTAGTATAGCTTGAAGTCAGGTAGCATGATGCCTCCCACTTTGTTCTTTTTGCTTAGGATTGCCTTGGCTATAGGATCTTTCTTGGTTCAATATGAAATTTAAAGTGGTTTTCTTTTCTAATTCTGTGAAGAAAGTCAGTGGTAGTTTGATGAGGATAGCATTAAATCTAGAAAGGACAGTATGGCCATTTTCACTTATATTGACTCTTCCTATCCATGAGCATGGAATGTTTTCTCATTTGTTTGTGTCCTGTCTTATTTCCTTGAGCAGTGGTTTGTAGTTCTCCTTGAAGAGGTCCTTTATATCCCTTGTAAGTTGTATTCTTAGGTATTTTATTCTCTTTGTAGCAGTTGTGAATGGGAGTTCACTCATAATTTGGCTCTCTATTTGTCTATTATTGGTGTATATAGGAATGTTTGTGATTTTTGCACATAGATTTTGTATCCTGAGACTTTGCTGAAGTTTATCAGCTTAAGGAGATTTGGGGATGAGACAATGGGGTTTTCCAAATATACAATCATGTCATTTGCAAACAGAGACAATTTGACTTTTTCCCTTCCTATTTGAATACCCTTTATTTCTTTCTCTTGCCTGACTTCCTTGGCCAGAATTTCCAATACTATGTCAAGTAGGAGTAGTGAGAGAAGGCATCCTTGTCTTATGTCAGTTTTCAAAGGGAGCGCTTCCAGCTTTTGCCCATTCAGTACGATATTGGTTGTGGGTTTGTCATAAATAGCTCTTATTATTTTGAGATACATTCCATCAATACCTAGTTTATTGAGAGTTTTTAGCATGAAGGGGTGTTGAATTTTATCAAAGGCCTTTTCTGCATCTGTTGAGATAATCATTTGGTTTTTGTCATTGGTTCTGTTTATGTGATGGATTACATTTATTGATTTGCATATGTTGAACCAGGCTTGCATCCCAGAAATGAAACCGATTTGATCATGATGGATAAGCTATTTGATGGGCTGCTGGATTTGGTTTGCCAGTATTTTACTGAGGATTTTTGTATCGATGTTGATCAGGGATATGGCCTGAAATTTTCTTTTTCTATTATGTCTCTGCCAAGTTTTGGTATCAGGATGATGCTGGCCTCACAAAATGAGTTAGGAAGGAGTCTTTCTTTTTCTATTGTTTGGAATAGTTTCAGAAGAAATGATACCAGCTCCTCTTTGTACCTCTGGTAGAATTAGGCTGTGTATCTGTCTGTTGCTGGGCTTTTTGGTGGGTAGGCTATTAATTACTGCCTCAATTTCATAACTTGTTATTGGTCTAGTCAGGGATTTGTCTTCTTCCTGGTTTAGTCTTGAGAGGGTGTATGTGTCCAGGAATTTATCCATGATTTTCTAGATTTTCTAGTTTATTTGCATAGAGGTGTTTATAGTATTCTCTGATGGTAGTTTTTATTTCTCTGGGATCAGTGGTGATATCTCCTTTATAATTTCTTATTGTGTTTATTTGATTCTTCTTTCTTTTCTTCTTTATTAGTCTGGCTATTGGTCTATCTATTTTGTTAATCTTTTCAAAAAACCAGCTCCTGGATTCATGGATTTTTTTGAAGGGTTTTTCGTGTCTCTATCTTCTTCAATTCTGCTCTGATCTTAGTTATTTCTTGCTTTCTGCTAGCTTTTGAATTTGTTTACCTTGCTTCTCTAGTTCTTTTAGTTGTGGTTTACGGTGTTGATTTAGATCTTTCCTCCTTTCTCTTTTGAGCATTTAGTGCTATAAGCTTTCTTCTAAACACAGCTTTGGCTGTGTCCCAGAGATTCTGGTACATTGTGTCTTTGTTCTCATTGGTTTCAAATAACTTATGTGTTTCTGCCTTCATTTCATTATTTACCCAGTAGTCATTCAGATTTAAGTGAGCTGCTTAATCCTGAGTTCTAATTTGACTGCACTGTGGTCTTAGAGACTGTTTATTATGATTTCTGTTCTTTTGCATTTGCTGAGGAGTATTTTACTTCCAATATGTGGTCAATTATAGAGTAAGTGCCATGTAGTGCCAAGAATATATATTCTGTCCATTTGGGGTGGAGAGTTCTGTAGATGTCTATTAGGTCTGCTTGGTCCAGAGCTGAGTTCAATCCTGAATATTCTTGTTAATTTTCTGTCTCGTTGATCTGTCTAATGTTGACAGTGGGGTGTTAAAAGTCCCTGATTATTATTGTGTAGGAGTCTAAGTCTCTTGGTAGGTCTAAGAACTTGTATGAATCCAGGTGTTCCTGTATTGATATGCAACAAGAAGTGCTAACTAAACTAAATATATACACGAGTATATATTGATATACTTGTGAATCAACATGTGATATATTTATGTAGCATTTACCATTATGTAATGCCCTTCTTTGTGTTTTTTGATCTTCACTGGTTTAAAGTCTGTTTTATCAGAGACTAGGATTGCAACCCCTGTTTTTTTTTTTCTTTTCTTTCCATTTGCTTGTTAAATATTCCTCCATCCCTTTATTTTGAGCCTATGTGTGTCTTTGCATGTGAGATGGGTCTCTTGAATACAGCACACCAGCATGCCAATGGCTCCTAACTCTTCATCCAATTTGCCAGTCTGTGTGTTTTAATTGAGGCATTTAGGCCATTTACATTTAAGGTTAATATTGTTATGTGTGAATCTGACCCTGTCATTATAATGCTAGCTGGTTATTTTTCCCATTAGTTTCTGCAGTTTCTTCATAGTATCGATGATCTTTACAATTTGGTATGTTTTTGCAGTGGCTGGTACTGGTCGTTTTCTTCATATTTAGTGATTCCTTCAGGAGTTCTTGTAAGGCAGCCTGGTTGTGACAAAAATCTCTCAGCATTTGCTTGTTTGTAAAGGATTTTATTCCTCCTTCACTTATGAAGGTTAGTTTGGCTAGATATCAAATTCTGGGTTAAAAATTCTTTTCTTTAGGAATGTTGAATATTGGCCTCCACTCTCTTCTGACTTGTAGGGTTTCTGTAGAGAGAACCACGGTTGCTTTGATGGGCTTATCTTTGTGGGTAAACTGACGTTTCTCTCTGGCTGCCCTTAACATTTTTCCTTCATTTCAACCTTGGTAAATCTGAATGGTATGTGTCTTGGGGTTGCTCTTCTCGTGCAGTTCTCTGTATTTCCTGTATTTGAACGTGGGCCTGCCTTACTAGGTTGGGGAAGTTCTCCTGGATTATATCCTGAAGTGTGTTTTCCACTTGGTTTCATCACTTTCAGGTACACCAATCAAACAGAGGTTGGTCTCTTTTCACATAGTCCCACATTTCTTGGATGATTTGTTCATTTCTTTTCATTCTTCTTTTCTCTAATCTTGCCTTCATGCTTTATTTCATTAAGTTTATCTTCAAACACTGATATCCTTTCTTCCGCATGATCAATTCACCTTTCTTCTGCTTTAGCGATTCATACTTGCGTATGCTTCACAAAGTTCTCGTAGGGTGTTTTTCAGTTCCATCAGGTCATTTATGTTCTTCTCTAAACTGGTTATTCTAGTTAGCAATTCCCCTAACCTTTTTTCAAGGTTCTTAGCTTCCTGGCATTGGGTTAGAACATGCTCCTTTAGCTCAGAGGAGTTTGTTATTACCCACGTTCTGAAGCCTACTTCTGTCAATTTGCCAAACTCATTCTCCATCCAATTTTGTTCCCTTGCTGGTGAGGAGTTGTGATGCTTTGGAGGAGAAGAGCACTCTGGTTTTTGGAATTTTTGGCACTTTTGTGCTGTTTTTTTCCCCGTCTTTGTGGATTTATCCACCTTTGGTCTTTGATGTTTGTGAGCTTCAGATGGAGTTTCTGTGTGGACATCTTTTTTATTGATGTTGATATTATTCCTTTTCTTTGTTAGTTTTCCTTTTAACAGTCAGGCCCCTCTGCTGCAGGTCTGCTGGTGTTTGCTGGCGATCTACTCCAGACCCTGTTTGCCTGTATCAGCAGTGGAGGCTGCAGAACAGCAAAGATTGCTGCCTGTTCCTGAGTACCACCAGCAAAAGCTGCAGAACAGCAAAAATTCCTTCCTGTTCTTTCCTCTGGAAGCTTTGTCTCAGAGGGGTACCTGCCAAATGTCAGCAGGAGCTCTCCTGTATGAGGTGTCTGTCGACCCCTGCTGGGAGGTGTCTCCCAGTCAGGAGGCATGGGGGTCAGGGACCCACTTGAAGAGGCAGTCTGTCCCTCAGCAGAGCTCGAGCACTGTGCTGGGAGATCCACTGCTCTCTTCAGAGCTGGCAGGCAGGAACATTTAAGTCTGCTAAAGCTGTGCCCATAGTCACTCCTTCCCCCAGGTGCTCAGTCACAGGGAGATGGGAGTTTGATCTATAAGCCCATCTCCGGGGCTGCTGCCTTTCTTTTAGAGATGCCCTGCCCGGAAAGGAGGAATCTACAGAGGCAGTCTGGCTACAGTGGCTTTGATGAGCTGCAGTGGGCTCTGACCAGTACAAACAAACCTCTGGGCAGCTTTATTTAAACTGTGTGTGAAGACCATCTATTCAAGTCTCAGTAATGGCAGACACTCCTTCCCCCACCAAGCTTGAGCATCCCAGGTTAACTTCAGACTGCTGTGCTGGCAGCGAGAAATTCAAGCCAGTGGATCTTAGCTTGCTGGGCTCTGTGGGGGTGGGATCTGCTTAGCTAGACCACTTGGCTTCCTGGCTTCAGCCCCCCATTTCAGGGGAGTGAATGGTTGTGTCTCACTGGCATTGCAGGTGCCACTGGGGTACGAAAAAAAACTCCTGCAGCTAGCTTGTTGTCTGCCCAAATGGCTGCCCAGTTTTGTGCTTGAAACCCAGGTCCCTGGTGGTGTAGGCACTGGAGGGAGTATCCTGGTCTGTGGATAGCAAAGACTGTGGCAAGAGCGTAGTATCTGGGCCAGAATGCACCATTCCTCACAGCACAGTCCCTCCTGGATCCCCTTGTCTAGGAGAAGGAGTTCCCTGACCCCTTGCACTTCCCAGGTGAGGCAACACCCCACTCTGCTTCTGCTTGCCCTCTGTGGGCTGCACCCACTGTTTAACCGGTCTCAATGAAATGAGCAGGTACCTCAGTTGGAAATGCAGAAATCACCTGCTTTCTGAGTTGATCTCGCTGGTAGCTGTAGACCGGAGCTGTTCCTATTCAGCCATCTTGCCTGGAAGTCCCCATTTAATTTTAAAATAACTTCTTTATTGTATACTAAGTAGAAAACATCTTATTTATATTATTGGTCATAGATGAATAGTGGAGTCATTTGTTTGAAAATTTTAACCTGTGAGAAAAACTTACTTTGGTTGATTCAAGCTTTTTTTCATACTGAAGTCTTTCACTGCCCATTTCATTAACTTTCAACCTCAAATCATTGACCTCCTGAATCAGCCCATTTCTAGGAAGAAACAAGAAACTACATCAGGAAAGTGGCAACACAGTTACCTATATCTATAAAGGAGCAGCTTGGAAATCCTAAGAAGTCACCAGTGCCTAGGGTTAACACTGCATGAATCAGATGAGACAAATGGAAATAAATGTACCTCCTTAAGAACCAAAGCATGTTTCCATTTAAAACATTCCTTTAAATACCTAATGCCTCTGCCCTAAGGTGATGGGCTTATGAAAATAAAAGGTGACTGTAATTCTGATTAAGAAAGGTAGCTTGATAACTATTATTTGTCAGATATTTCTATCCTAAAAATGACTCTATGGATGCTATTTCATAAAGTGCTATTTCTATTTCATAAAACTCTATTTCATGTTTTAAATATATGACATTCTTCAGTAAAGCCATTTATCATTTCAATCTTCTCAGTGATGCATGGGTATTTACTTTTTAAAAAATGTGTAATTTCTTCCTTTGTCCATAAAAATGTGGATTTCTGATCAACCCAATATGGGAGAATGAAATTAAAATTAAATCCATTAAGCCAATGAATCCTTAAGATTCATGAAATATCCAGGAAAATATTTTATTTTTATTAAGTGAATGATAACAGGAACACGAGAATATTCAAATCAGTTTTAATTTTGAGAACTATTTTAATTATTTTCATATATAACATCACAAAGTTTATCAACTATTCTCTAATCTCTGGGTATGTGCATACATTTTAGCAATAGTGTTGAATTTTTATTAGAAGATTATCAGAGATTGAGTTTACTGTAAGTTTAATGACAATTCTCAACTGGAAAGTGGATGAGGGCCTTGCAGTTTACCTACTTTTATAATTAGAAAATAAAAGAGAAACCAATCCTAATGTTTATATGGCACAACAGAATTTTACACCCTTTCAACTGCCATTTTTTATTTTATTTTAGTGCTACTTTTTAAAGAACCAATTTGCTCATAAAACTTGTCCAAGTATTCTGAGAAATATGGTATATTTTTTACCAGATCCTGGAGAGTAGGAAAGGAAATTAGAGTGTTACACAGCATTAACTCCTTCAAAAGAAGAAATAATTGAAAAAAATGGAATTATAAACTGGGATAATTTATCTGTTTTAACAAAAACTACTCAACTATATTTCATGGCAATACTTTAAACATGGTTTACATTTCCAATCTGAAATCATACCTTTCCCTGACAATATAAGCTGGAAAATCTGGAAATAGCTTTCTAATTAAGACTTTAAAAAACAGAATACAAATTATTTCAATCAATTTCTTACCAGAAGTTCAGTCCTTTTGAAAAAGAAAATCCCTACTCCCTTTCTGTTTTTCCTTTCAGAGAACTCCTCAGGGCTTCCACAGAAACTCAATCTCTGGCATCTATTCTCTTACCAGAAGGGGACGCTGTTGAATGATGCTAACCATATCCCATTAGCAATTCCAGGGACAAGCAAGTCCTGAATCTTCCAAAGTTTAAGAACTTTTACCTTCGGTCCTTTGGAAATGCCTATACTTTTTCCATGCCAATATTTTCTTGGAAATTAATATACAAATAATCTAAAATTCTAAGAGAAAGTTAAATATTATGGATTCATGAAACATCCGGGAAAATATTTTTATTAAGAGAACAATAACAGGAACATAAGAATATTCAAGTTAGTTTAATAGTGAAGATTGAAGATTATTTTAATTATTTTCATATGTAACATCACCAAGTTTACCACATATTCTCTAATCTCTGGGTACATGCATACATTTTAGCAATAGCACTACTTTTTTTTTTTTTTTTTTTTTTTTTTTTTTTTTTTGAGACGGAGTTTCGCTCTTGTTACCCAGGCTGGAGTGCAATGGCGCGATCTCGGCTCACCGCAACCTCCGCCTCCTGGGTTCAGGCAATTCTCCTGCCTCAGCCTCCTGAGTAGCTGGGACTACAGGCACGCGGCACCATGCCCAGCTAATTTTTTGTAGTTTTAGTAGAGACAGGGTTTCACCATGTTGACCAGGATGGTCTCGATCTCTTGACCTCGTGATCCACCCGCCTCGGCCTCCCAAAGTGCTGGGATTACAGGCTTGAGCCACCGTGCCCGGCCAGCACTACATTTTTATTAGAAGATTGTCAGGAATTGAGTGTACTAGAAGTTTGATGACAAGATCACTTTGTTTGTGATTGAGAGAGCATGAGTGAAATATGAAAAAGTAGGGAAAAGAGTTTGATAAAAAAGGCAGCCAAACTCAAGGGATGTAAATATTGCCCTAGGGTCTTACAAAAATAAATAACACATCTACTGCAGTTTAGTGCCAACACTTGGTTAGCAACTCATACCCAGATTAAGTTAACAATAGATGAAGATTTCCCCTTGACTTTGCAGACACAATGTAGAAGACTACCTACCTCTATCCACATCTACTGTAAATTCTTCCCTGCAGCAGAGCCAGTGCCACTGTCATGTGTCCATCTGTTGACAGACTTTTACTATTACCCTACACAGCGACTATGGGGTTATGACCTGACAAAAAGAGGGGAAAGAGGAAAACATCAACAGATTTTTACAGAAAGCACAAAAGCAACAATTTTAAATTGGTGCCTTTCTAAGTCTTAAGTTCCTCAACTTCGATCAAATGAGAAACATGCTCATATAGGTGACTGACAAAGAGTTTTAAGATTAAAACACGGCTGGGCATGGTGACTTATGCCTATAATCCCAGAGCTTTGGGAGGCCAAAATGAGATGATTGCTTGAGGCCAGAAGTTCCAGACTAGCCTGGGTAACACAGTAAGATCCCACCTCTACAAAAAAAAAAAAACCTAAAACATGAATCAAATGAAAGAAAGATTTTTTTTTGCTACTGAGGAAGCAAGACATATCCAAATCGTTCCATTATAATTGAATATTTGACAAAAAATTTAATTTTGAAACAGCAATGGAGTAAACCTTCTTATTTCCAGATCTATAAAGGGCTTTCCTATAGTGGATAATGTATGTGATGCCTGGTACCATGCTGGCAAATAGTCAGCATGAAATACATGTTTGAAACACAGAAGAGAAAAATAAGTAAACCATTTTCTCTCCTCTCTCCTTGTGCCCATTTTCTAAACCAGGGTGACACCTTCCCATACTCCAACCAAGGAAACAAAATACAAAGAAAAAAGGAGGGGAGAGAGAAGGAATTTCTGCAACTCTTTATACTTCATTTCAAATGAATATATTTCAAATGGATATGCTCTCTCCCTCCACCAAAAAAGACAATAGAGAGGTTAAGAACTTGCCAAATATCACAAAACACACAAACTAGAAGGCCTGAATTAATAAAATAGAACAAAAAACAAAGCCTGTTTAGCCACTAAAATGGATACTTCAAGTTATAGAATGTACCCTGAGTTTCATAGAAGTGTAGTGAGTCTTCTTTAATTGGAATGATTTACATATGGAAGAGACCAAAAGTAGAAGGCCAAATTAAATGACCTCAAAAAGACTCTGTGGTTTTGTGATTATATAATGTAAACATGTTTTCTATACAGATTTTAAAAATCCAATTACATAGTAAAAAATCAGTATGCCTAAATAATAACTACTAGTTAAACCATAAATTTAAGCCCATTATTTACAAAATTAAGAAAACCAGTATGGATGGACAGATGCTCCAAATATCCTAAAATCAAAGATATTTCTAAAGGTTAATAAAAGAATTAATATTTCATATCAAAAGTCTAAAAATAAAAGTAGCCATTAGTATTTAATGATAAAAAGTCAATGTAATCAAAGATTATTCTTAAAATGAGGCAAGATGAGGGCATGTAGTAATTAACTGCCTTCCTTGCACACCTAGGGAATTTCAACTTTGCCCTAGGAATGTACGTGCATGAGAGACAGGAGAGGAGAAGGGAGGACAGACTGTATCACTCAACTCTGTGTCTCTGAACTTATCTTCATAGTCCAATCTGTCTTCTATAGACATCAGCTTCAGCTTCAAGTTAGATCTTTCAGCCATCAGATCCAAGTTCTGAGTTTCTAAGGATGTCCTACTCAGAAGTTCCTACTGAAATTTAAAAGATACACTCAAAAATTCTTTTATTATAAAGAGCCACATGTGAATTTACCTCATTTATGATCTCAAAGCAGCACCTATCAAGCAGAGGATGTACTAAAGAATAATTACAGAATATATATACTATTTAAAAATTATTCACTTGAGGCAGGGAGCAGTAGCTCATGCCTGTAACCCCAGCACTTTGGCAGGCCAAGGTGGGCAGATCACTTGAAGTCGGGAGTTCGAGACCAGTGTAGACAGTATGGTCAAACCCTGTCTCAACTAAAAATACAAAAATTAGCCTGTGTAGTGGCAGGCACCTGTAGTCCCAGCTACTCGAGAGGCTAAGGCAGGAGAATTGCTTTAACCCAAGAGGCATAGATTACAGTGAGCGGAGATCGTGCCACTGCACTTCAGCCTGGGCAACGGAGCGAGGCTTTGTCTCAAAAATAAGATAAAATAAAAAATCATTCACTTTAGTTACCCTCCTTTGAGCAGAAATGAACACATGTCAGTTTACTGAGTGAGTCATGTGTTACATAGATACACGTGCATAAACCATATATGTCCTTTTTTAAAAAATTTTATTTATTTCTTTTATTGCATTTTAGGTTTTGGGGTACATGTAAAGAACATGCAAGATTGTTGCATAGGTACACACGTGGCAGTGTGATTTGCTGCCTTCCTCCCCATCACCTATATCTGGCATTTCTCCCCATGCTATCTCTCTCCAACTCCCTACCCCTCACTGTCCCTCCCCTATTTCCCCAGAGCAGACCCCAGTGTGTAGTGCTCCCCTCCCTGTGTCCATGTGTTCTCATTGTTCAACACCCGCCTATGAGTGAGAACATGCGGTGTTTGATCTTCTGCTCTTCTGTCAGTTTGCTGAGAATGATGGTTTCCAGGTTCATCCATGTCCCTACAAAGGACACAAACTCATCGTTTTTGATGGCTGCATAATATTCCATGGTGTATATGTGCCACATTTTCCCTGTCAAGTCTATCATCGGTGGGCATTTGGGTTGGTTCCAGGTCTTTGCTATTGTAAACAGTGCTGCAATGAACATTCATGTGCACGGGTCCTTATAGTAGAACGATTTATAATCCTTTGGATATATACCCAGTAATGGGATTGCTGGGTCAAATGGAATTTCTATTTCTAGGTCCTTGAGGAATCGCCACACTGTCTTTCACAATGGCTGAACTAATTTACACTCCCACCAACCATGTAAAAGTGTTCCTATTTCTCCACATCCTCTCCAGCATCTGTTGTCTCCAGATTTTTTAATGATCGCCATTCTAACTGGCATGAGATGGTATCTCAATGTTGTTTTGATTTGCATTTCTCTGATGACCAGTGATGATAAGCATTTTTTCATATGTTTGTTGGCCTCACATATGTCTTCTTTTGTAAAGTATCTGTTCATATCCTTTGCCCACTTTTGAATGGGCTTGTTTGTTTTTTTCTTGTAGATCTGTTTTAGTTCTTTGTAAATTCTGGATATCAGCCCTTTGTCAGATGGGTAAACTGCAAAAATTTTTCCCATTCTGTTGGTTGCCGATTCACTCTAATGACTGTTTCTTTTGCCGTGCAGAAGCTGTGGAGTTTGATTAGGTCCCATTTGTCTATTTTGACTTTTGTTGCCAATGCTTTTGGTGTTTTGTTCATGAAGTCCTTGCCTATGCCTATGTGCTGAATGGTTTTGCCTAAATTTTCTTCTAGGGTTTTTATGATGTTAGGTCTTATGTTTAAGTCTTTAATCCATCTGGAGTTAATTTTAGTGTAAGGTGTCAGTAAGGGGTCCAGTTTCTGCTTTCTGCACATGGCTAGCCAGTTTTCCTAACACCATTTATTAAACAGGGAATCCTTTCCCCATTGCTTGTTTTTGTCAGGTTTGTCAAAGATCAGATGGTTGTAGATATTTTGTGTTGCCTCCAAGGCCTCTGTTCTGTTCCATTGGTCTATATCTCTGTTTTGGTACGAGTACCATGCTGTTTTGATTACTGTA